GAGCTTAAGAGCTCCACCCCAGCACTGGGACGCAGGGAAAGGAACAGAAATCATGGATGGTGGGACCAGTGACACGGAGCTATAAATGGTATGGCTTTGGCTGTATGTATGCAGAATTCTACTCTTCTGATTTGCTTTGTGCACAAAAAATGCTCCACCCTCTTCGTTGGCAGGACTGAAGAGAAGGCAGAATGTATTTGTGTTGGAGTTCCATCAGCAGCAAGAGCCTTCAGTTTTTCCTGTTTATTTCTGTTCCAGATGAGACAAAAGGACCCAGTGAAAGGAATGACCGCAGATGACTAAAGGCACCCCTCCCCCTTCTGCACTGTATGTACTGAATCTCTCCCTTTGCATCTCATCAACGTGAAAATCAGTTTGGGTCCTTGGGGCCTCAGCAGCTCACTGTGGGGTCAGGAAACTTGCTTCATCCCTCGTCCTGTCCTCCAGTGATCCTGATGACTGCCATGCTAAACAGCTCTCAGGCTTCCATTGACAGATATTGTGACTATTAGACCAATTCAGGGACATGTGATCTTATAATGAACCGCCCAAACAGACATATGGACCCACCCAATAGTGAGAAGTGGGGCTGCGTTGGGGCGGTAGACACAGAACTGAAGCTTATCTGCAACTAAATCCTCCTCCTCTCATAACTAGAGCCATTTCAAGTTGAAGCTGGCATTCAGGGGTGCCCCTGGTACCCCTGTGCCAAAGCTAGTTCCTGGCTCCCCACTGCTGGCATGCCCTGCCCTGCCCTTGGAAAATGCTGGCCAGACAGCTTTTCCTCGGGTTCATCGTTTATCTGGTGCTTCATTTCCTTCCCCTTTAAAGCCTCTGATCCTATACTAAGTAGCTGTCCTCATCAGAGGCAGCCTCTTTCAGATGCTTGGAGAGTATTTCTGCCCAGGTCATAGGAGCAGGATGAGGTGTTCCTGTTTCACGATGCTGCTCTTTCCCAAGCCCTGTCCTTCCCAGGACCCTGCATACCTCCAGACCTGCTGATACTCCAGCAGCTCTCAGTGGGCTTGGTCATGGAATTAAAAACCTGGCCCTGCTCCCCATTGGGCTCTGAGAGGAAATTATTTTATCAAGTAAACTCTGGTTGTCCTCTAACACTAAGGGGAGCTGAGGAGGCCCGGGGTCTCACCAGCAGTAATGCAAAGCTCTGCTCGCTCTCCCTGCCCCTTGTGCTTGAGAACTTCTGGCAGATAAAAACAGTAGGACTGAGTGGACGGTTGCAGTGTCGGCTGCTTGGACCATCATTTCCTCCCCCCACCCCCTACTGGCATCTTGGCTCCTTTTGAAATTCCACCATCAATGATTTACAGTGTGTTTCTATTTTCCTCTGTTGCTTCCTTAATAATTGTATTTCTCTTCTAGTTTTGCAAGACAGTGGTCAACAGGAAGGCCCAGCAGCTCCACCCTCCCAAGTGACAGGCCATCTTCGGACGCAGCCTTTCTGTGCCCATTCTTCAGGCAACTTTCGATCCCTTACTGTAGCTACTTCTAGATGCCCTTTAATATTGTGAACAAATAGACCGTCTGGTATTATGAAGCCTGTATGTGCGGGAGCCTGCTCCTCTGAGATATATGGCGTGTAGGTTGCTGTATTCACAGCTCCTCCCTCTCCAACCATTTTGTTCTCAACCCATTTCTGTGTGTTCCCCCCCTCCCGGCCCTTTATTTCCAAGTGACATTTTTAGTCTTTCAAAATAGCTGCCTTTTGTGATGTGGTGATTTAAATGATTTAAGTTCATTTGTTTTCAACCTTGGGATAAACTGAGGTATTTTTGCTTCCTGGGCAGATCTTTGCAATTTTGAGTGCTCACCTGGGGAGAGATGAGTTAGAAATACAGTTTTTTCCTCCAGTTTCACGGAACAGCAGTGTGGCTTCATAACTCTGATCTCTGCTCTCAGTAACCCATTGTTAATGTGCCGTAGGCACCAAGGAAGTACCCAGGGCCCAGCCAGTCTCTGTTTTAAAAATGTAACAAATATAGATAACCCCTGCCCCAGGATCGCATCTCTGGTCACTAGTCTTAGAGACACCTGTGGCTTCTTGGCCCTCCTGTTGCCCACCCTGCCCGAACCTTGCAGAGCCCACAGTATGCCCGGGTCAGTTCTCCACCTGGAGGGACCTGTCCAATGTCCCCGTAGAATTGAGTCGGCCCCATATGTACTAATTATTCTGTTCCCCAGTCCCCCCCCAGGAGCTCTGTATGTCCATGCTCCGCTTCCCTTTTGGGCTGGTGCTGCCACTCAGCAATAATCCTCTTTTCTCTGTGCTTTCTTAGATTCCTGTCCTCTGTCTCTGAGGCTGGTCAGGACACAAGAGTCCTGATCTTTTCATGCTGCACAAAACGAGCATGCAAAAACCTTTTCCCCAGCAGAACATGTTCCCTCTTGTCTCCAGTTGCTGGAAAGGAATTTGGGAATCAGGAACTCAGCTCATCCCGCCCCCATGCTGAGTTCTGTCCTGGACAATCAGAAGCAAAAAGCAAGTAGTGATCATAGTATAGAACTCTACCTACCAAAGGAGGCCGGTGAAAACGTCCAGACTCCGGGGGAGGTTAGAAGCTGCCGAGTGCTCCATGGTTGTATACAACTTGGCGGAAACCAAGTATGCCTTCCCAGCGGGAGAGTCTGAGATAGCTGTGGTGTCACCTGATATTTCCCAAGCCTCGTGAAGTATGTTAGCCAAGTGTGTTGTGATCCAAGCCCATGCTAGTCTGGGTGCAGTGGCTGATTAAGAGACCAAATCTGTGTTGGGGGAGCGAGAAGTAGGGTGGGATCATTTATCCTTATGTTGTCGTCAGTTTGTTTTGCCTTACCGATTTCTAAGTGCAATAAGGGAGTGTTTCACAGGATTACACCTGTGACATCCTGATGGCTGCTTCCCTGTGACCCTCTTGGGGCAACAGCGGACAGACTCAGACCCCTCAGTGTGGTTGTCTCCCACCTCCACTGAGGCCTCTGTGGGACCAGGAAATGTCCTGTTACACCGTCCTTGCAGGCTCCTCACCTTGTGGGGTCTGTAGTAATGGGTCTGGGGCAGTTCAGTTGGTTATTAGGATTCCCAACTGCTGGTAGCATCTATTTGGGAAAGTGAAGCATTCCTACTGGAGAAAAATGTGTTTTCCTATAAGCTCTGTATTAGCTATAATTATATTTGTGCTTAAAGTTTTCCCTTCATTCATCAGCTAAATCCAGGCGTGGGTTATCCTGGGAGAAATGAACCATGATGTTCTAAGCAGTTAGGTGGATTGAGGGTCATCAGAGGTTAGTTTCCTTGCCTCAGCTCTTCTCTGAGATCACACATACCACTCCAACTCTGGTGGGCCTTGCTCTTTATCTGGCTTTTCTCTGGCTCCTCCCATCTCTACCTGTTGCCCCAGTTTGAAAGCGTCCACATGAGCTGAGCTAGAATTTCCTGATGTCAGCTGGATCTGGGGCTCCAGCCCACAGAAGCATAAGGAGGGGTGTCCCTGGTCTATTCTATCCCCACGGATAGCATTGCTGCTGGGCAACAGCGTTGGCTTTTAAGTATCCCCCTTACCTTCTCACCCACCTCCTGACTGGCACTGACCAGCACTCAAGAGGGGTTTATGATGAAAGGCTCAGCTCCAGGGGTAGTACCTGAGCGTGTGCCGTGCCCCTTCAGACCAGCTGCTTCCATCAGATTTCCGGGGTCGGAGTCGCGGTTTGAAGCAGCACTGCCTCTGTGAGGGGGCGGTGCTGGGCTCTGGCCTCACAGAGAGAGGTCAGGGACAGGGTCAGTATCGTGGGCATGTGTATATCTCCCCAAGTTCTCTTACAGTCCCTGCTGGGACTCCCTGACTTATTTTGGTTGGTTCCTAGTGCTACTTCTTTTACAAAATACACTTTGTAGAACTGATTAGATTACCTTGTTTATTTAATGTGAGTTTGTGCCTTTTTGTCTCAATCTTCCAAAAGAGGTATATTGGGGGAAAAAAAGCAGTCTAATAAAATCCTAGACAGAGCTTTCCGGAGTCCAGCTTATTGGTGATGTCCATTTTACAACTTAGATATCCTCAAACTCTTGCTGCTGTCCTCTGTTTTACCAGGACTAGGAAAAAGTACAAGATAGCTCCAAAATTTTTTGCAGGTCGATTTCTGTAAATTAAAACATCCCCTTGTCATTTTACTTATGCAGACATCACATATCTGAAAGTAATTTGGCCATTTTCTACTGGCAGAATTTCCTTTTTGCTTTTGTCCCCCCTCCCTCTTTTTTACTATCCTACCAAGCAAAACATTTATTTAAAGTGGGAGTTCTTAACCTGGCTTCCAGGTCTGTGGAACTCATAAAACTTGTTTGTAAAATTGTGTGTGTGTGCATTTTTCTGGGGAGAGTCATGGCTCTCGTCAGATCCCCAAAGGAATCCCATGCACCGCCCTCCCTATCCTCCAAAAACGATTAAGAACCAGTTATTTGAAGAAAATCTTAATCTTTGGCAAAAATCTTCATTTCTGTTCATCAGATAGAGGCATTTATTTTTCATTCTTTGGTGGCTAATTTTCTAAGAGTCCAAGCACCCCCGACGTCTGATGTGTAATAGGTAACCTAAGGAGTGTGAAAAGCGGGAAACACTGGACAGTGGAAGTGGAGAACTAAGGATGGAGGAGCTCTATGCCCAACACGAGAGCGATTACCTGTAGATGAGGGGCAAAGAGACTGCTTCACAGGCAGGACAGTGGCTGGACTGCCCCTCCCCCCCTCCTTCGCCCTTTGGACCTGCGGACGTTGGGGAGGTGGAGGGGCACAGCGCAGAGGCCAGAGACCTCAACTCCGACAACTGGCCAAACGAGCCGGGCCCAGGAGGCTGGTGCGGGCCGGGCTGCGGCTTCCGCCGGAACACTGCCCCTCCTGGCCGGCCTCGCGCGGGGCACCCTGGGAGCCGCGGGGTTGCCAGATGCGCGCGCCGGGCGGGGCAGTGTTGCGTCGGGTTCTGCTGGCGCGGAGACGCTCCTCTTTTCCTCCCAGCCCTTCGCCGTTCCGCGCCCGGTGGAGAGTCACGCCTCCTCTCCCAGGCGGCACCACCCAGAGCCCTCCGTGCCCTCAAGCCCCGCCCCTTACGGAAGCCGAGGCGGAGGGTCAGAATCCGGAAGGAAAACAATCGAGCGAGAGTAAGCTAGCCGGGACCTGCTGCCGGAGGGAGGTGGATCGGGCCAGGAGCGGCGGGGGCGGGGAGGCGCGAGCCGGCCGGGCAGCGGCGTGGGGACGATGGCGGCCTTGAACCCACGGAAGCCGACTGAAGCGAGAGGCAAGACGCTCAGGTGAGGAAGGCGGTTGCGGGCAAGCCGGCCTGTTCCGGGCGGGATCACCATCTCCTACCCTTTCGGGGCTGCGGATCTGTAGTACAGCCAGCCTGGGAGAGAAGGGGCTAGACTTGCAGGGCTGGTTCTAGCTCAGAGACCCTACCCAGTTCTCGCAAGCCAATGGCGAGGGGGCTGTTTTGGGCCCAAGCCCCGCACTCCCTCCAAACTCAGGCCGCCGAGCTCGTTCCCATTTGGGCGCCGCATGCAGGTGTCTCGGTTGTCTTCTGGCGGAGACAGGGGTATTGGGCTGTTTGAAGTTAAAAACAGAACAAGGCATTCTCCTTTCAGCTCTAGAATAGAAATCTTGTTCTTTTGATCAGCACATACATCACGGGGTCTGCCTGATCCCGTTGTGACCTCCCGAAATCCGAAATCAGGTTTAAGTAAGATCCGTTAGTGCAGTGATAGAGCCTGGTACCATGCTTGCTCTTTAACGAAGAACAAAGCTGATCACCAACTTAGTGCAGGTCACAATGCAAGGATTTGCTGCTAATCGTCGGATCTGAGAGTGAGGGCAAGAAATTCCGACTTTTGCTCTGCATCCACTTAGAGTAGGTCCCTGGGAAAGCAAAGAGCCTTGGACTGAAAGGGCAGCCTTCCTTAATCCTCTGTTGGACAGCAGGGGGAGATCGTAAACAAAGTGCAGAATCTCTAGCCGAATGCCTGGGAAGGTGGTTTGTGTTTTGTTTTGTTTTGTTTTGTTTTGTTGATGTTCGTGGGGAGGGGCAGGAAGTTGTTTTAAGCCGGCCAAGAATTTCAAGTTGTGCTTTTTAGAACATGGACCTCTAAGAACAGGATCTGGTGGAGAAGAGATGATTTTGGACATCCTGCTCTTTTCTCCCATCTCTCTCAACCTCCTGTACAACCTTGCCCATTCTAAGTTTTCTTCTGCTGGAGGTCCTCCTCCTCATGGTGTACCTAAGGCTTGGTGGCTGGACCTTGGTCTCTGCAGGTTTTGTAGCCCCTGATTGCTCTGTACTCAGCTGAGTCTGGGGCTTTCTTGGAGTGTTCCTGTAACTACTCAGTGAAAGAGATCTGCAAGTGTCTCCTTCCCCTGAGCCTCTGATGGGATCCATTGTGATTGAGAGCTGCTGATCTAGTTCTGTTGCTTCCGTAGGGTTTATATGAAGCCAAGGTTGAGGACGCTATCCAACTGATGACTTTTCCCAAAAGAGGGTAGACTCCTGAGAGAGATGTTGAGAACCCTATTATTTAGAATCTTCACCTTTAGGCTCCCTGAAATGCTTGGCAGAATTGGTTATGCTCCAGGGACCTGCTAGGAAGAAGGAAGGAAGGGAATGTGGTGGTGTTATCTTTGTTATTTTTGAAATTCTCCTGTCTTATAGTGTCTTTTACCTCTTACAAGGTAAAAACTGAACCTCCAAAATCTTTCTGGTGGCCTTAGGAGCCCTGAGGTGTGAATGGCTGGTGGAATTATTAAATTCCTGACTACCGACCCCATGCCCATTCCTTTCCTCGCCTGACCCTGAAACCTTTGCACCCACTTGGCAGCTTTTCCTAATGTCAGCAGCACCAGTGCCACCAGCTGTGGGCAGCTGTGGGCCTGCATGGAGGAGCCAAAACGGGGTGGAAATTTCCTGCTTCAGGAACAAAGTGAGGAGGAAGGGCTTGTGGTTCAGTGCCCCTGTTCCCATTACCAGGTACAGAAACTCATGTTTCCCATTATGGTTGCACTGGATTGTGGTGCAGCCATTAGCAGGCCCATTCGTTACCCGGATAAGGTCCTACCCCCATCCCTCCACGACTTCCCTTCCTACCCCTTCCACAGCATACATGTGGTGACGTGGAACGTGGCCTCTGCAGCACCTCCTCTAGACCTCGGCGATCTTCTTCAGCTGAACAAAGACAACCTGAATCTGGACATGTATGTCATTGGGTAGGTGTCTGCAGTGCCCCTTCCCCCATTCCCATTTCTGAGATAGATAAGCCCGACCAGTCCAAAGTTGTCCCCATGGGGTGCTGCTGTCACCTGTCCTCCTTGCTGTGGAGTCTGAAAGCTATAAGCTTTCAGCCTGCATCAGGACCAGTCAGTGTCTCTTGTCCTGAGTCAGTAATGGCAAGGGGTTGGCAGTCAATGGCCATGGGAGGGAGAGATCATGGTCATGAGTACCCAAGGTTTGAAAGTGCCGAGGGCAGTACTAAATGTCTGTGGCAGAGGCATTACCCTCCAGGCCAGGGAGAGAGCCTCTGACCTGGAATGGGCAGTTTGCAGGAAATGAACTGTGGGATCATGAGCCTCCTTTCTGACACTGCCTTTGAAGACCCATGGAGCAGTTTCTTCATGGATGTGCTTTCCCCTCTGAGCTTCGTCAAGGTAACTTACAAGTTCACGGGCAGTTGGGAAATGTGTCTCACCTCTTGTCACTAACCCCCAGTCCTTTGATCTCCCACTCAGACTTGCATGCTGTTTCCATTTATTTAAAGGCGCAAACCTCAGTTGCTCCTGGCTTCCTGGGGCTCCTGCCTGCCTTGTGTCTTTCCAGTGTAGCTGGAGCTGAGCTGGGACCCCAGGGATCAGTTTAACACCTTGACATTTTTCAGGTTGGGAGAATCCTGGGGGAAGCACGGCAGGGCTTACTAACACTTCGGTGCCTATCCCTGTCAGCCTTCAATCCCTACTCACGTGCCCAGCCTGAAATCCCTGAGTATAATAATAACTGCTAACATTTACTGAGTGCTTACTTGGGAGTAAGCATTACAAATAAGCTCTTGATACGCATTATTGAGAACTCTTAACTCTCTTGAAATGTGGGTATTTTACAGATAAAACCAAGACTGAAAGGTCACACAGGCTGTCTGGGATTTGAATCTAGATCTTTCAAATTTCATTTCATAACCCGGGTTCTTTTTTTTTTCTTTATTGCATTTAGCATGGAATTTATTTTATTTATTTATTTACTTATTTTTAGAAATTTTCCTTTTATTCATTTGAGAGAGACAGAGCAAGAGCGTGAGCAAGGGGAAAGGGCAGAGGGAGAGGGAGAAGCAGACTCCCCACTGAACAGGACACCAATGTGGGGCTCGATCCCAGTACCCCAGGACCATGACCCGAGCCAAAGGCAGATGCTTAACCGACTGAACCATCCAGGCGCCCCATAACCCATGTTCTTAACTACTATACTTTATTGCTATGCTGGTGAGCTCTGAGGCTGACAGGTATCCCATGGCTAGCCTGCTGGTATCAAAGGGTGTCCTCTGATCGCAGGAGACATGTACCTCAAATTCTCAGGGGCCCAGAGGTTAGGAGAGGGGAGGAAAATAGTTCTCAGTCCGAAGGGCCAGTATTCTTTGGGGAAAGCAGACCATAGGAGAATCCACAGGAAGGCTCTAGATCGCTGGGTCCTCACCTTTACGTCCTGCACAGCTGAGGCATGAAGCATACTCCCATTCAAAGCACCCTGTGCAGTGCTTCTTGGAAATACCAGAATTCCTCTAGTCCCTTCCTGGGTGACTCATTTCTTCAGAATTAATTCTCTTAGCCCAGTTTGCTTAAGGGTGCTGAGGCAAGAGCTGTGAGTCCTCTCAAGGGCAGAGCCAGGAGGAGGGAATACAAGCCTTGTCCTGCTGCTAAGGCTGGGAAAGGTCAGTCCCCAAGCCCTTGGCTCTCTCCAGATGAAGCTCAGGGCCTCTTCCTCCAGATGTGGAGCTAGACCCTCTGAGAAGGCAGAACCACTTCTCTCACCACCCACTCTCTTCCCAAGACTGGAGGCTTCCTTACACCCTGGCTCACTGGCAAGGGATTGGTAGAATGGAATCAAGCCAAGGAAATTAGCTCAGCTTGTGGCAGGGACACAACCCATTTTACCCATGTGGCCTCCCGTATTTGGGAGGCCTGCCTCAGGGCCTAGCACCCAAAGCAGATGGGTGACCCTCTTTCCCCTAGCGAAGAACTGAGGTGAAGGGGTGAGCCCTGCTTGCAGCCTCGTCCTTTGATGGGAGTTTGCCAGTTATAGGTTGAGAAGCCTGGGCCTGACTCCCTTTGTTGGCTCCAGGGCCCCTAGCTCCCTCCCTTTAGCCCCTTCCTTAGCTCCTCCTACTTCACTTCCTCCAACAGAACTTCCTCTACAAGTCTCCCGCCTTTGCCCACAGCCCCACCCTTTCTCCCAGTCCCAGGCTTTCCTGGCACCCGATCCCCCTCCCTTGGTCCTTCACAAAGCGGACTGGTGCCTTTGTGCGGGGTTCCAGTGGTCCAGACCTGCTCTGTGGGTTAGGATTAAGCTTGAAAGTTCTTCTGGAAATTCATCAGTTCCTTAGGAGTCAGTCCTATTGACATATATGCTTGTCAATGGGAGAGATCAAGACTGGGGCTAGAGGGTGGGGTTGGAGACACATTTATAGCAACCTCTACCCAACACTAGGTTCTCACACCTCCTCACTCAGGCTTGGGTTTGGGGTTCCCCCTGCTTTGACTCCTCCACTGTGCCAGAGCTCCTGGCCTGCGGGATCAAGTTTCATAATTCCTGGAAGGCCCCAGTACACGCTCCCCACCCGGGGATTTCCTCCTTGGCCTCTGCAACCTCAAGCTCCGGAAACAGCTACTCGGGTGGTAGGTGTAGACAGCCTGAGGCTGAGAGAGAGAGGGTCACTGGCTATGGCCCTTTCCCACCCCACCTCACAGAGCAGGGATTTTAGGGATCCCGGACCTCAAACATTGTTATATGAGTAGTCTTCCTGGTTCCTCAGTCTCCTTGAGCCTCAGCCTTCAGGGACAGCAGTTCCTTACAAGGTTGGCGTGAAGATTAAACGCAGTATGAAGCATTTTAGTAGACTGTGGCTGTTCTCCCCAACCTGCAAACACATGTCCACCATGCTTGCTCTCATCGCCTCTGCATTGCCTTCATGGAAATCCAACCACCCACAGTGTGTAATCATTTGGGGGAACATTTTCTTAATTTTTTTCCACTGAACATTATAATGTATACAGAAATTAGGTGTATTTTTTATGGCTTTTTATTTGTATATGCATCAGTGTTACCACCAGTCAAGTCAAGGTACAGAATATTTCTAGCACACTAGAAGGCTCTCTCATGTTCTTTCCCTGAATTTACCTTTTTTTTTTTTTTTTTAAAGTAGGCTTCACGCGGGTGCCTGGGTGGCTCAGTTGGTTGAGCGACTGCCTTCGGCTCAGGTCATGATCCTGGAGTCCCGGGATCGAGTCCCACATCGGGCTCCCTGCTCAGCAGGGAGTCTGCTTCTCCCTCTGACCCTCCCCCCTCTCGTGCTCTCTATCTCTCATTCTCTCTCTCTCATATAAATAAATAAAATCTTTAAAAAAAAAAAAAAAAAGTAGGCTTCACGCCCAGCGTGGGGCTTTAACTCACAACCCTGAGATCAAGAATCGCATGCTCTGAGCCAGCCAGGTGCCCCTCCCTGCATTTACTTTTTAAAAATCTTTATTTATTTATTTTTTTAAAGATTTTATTTATTTGAGAGAGAGAGAATGGAAGAGAGAGAGCACGAGGGGGGGAGGGTCAGAGGGAGAAGCAGACTCCCTGCTCGGCAGTGGAAGAAGCAGTCTGCTTCTCCCTCTGACCCTATCCCCTCTGATGTGCTCTCTCTCTCTCTCATTCTCTCTCTCAAATAAAAAAAAAAAAAAAAGTCTTTAAACCAGGAGTGCCTGGATGGCTCAGTCAGAAGAGCGTTAGACTCTTGATCTTGGGGTTGCGAGTTTGAACCCAACAATCGTTGTAGAGATTACTAAAGAAATTTTTTTAAATCCTTAAACCAGGAAAGAAGAGCTGCCAGTTAATCCTTCCGGCCTCCATGAGATGGATGAGATAGGTCCTGGTTTTTCAGTGAGCAGATAGACTGAGACTTGGCCCAATAGCAAATTCTAAGAGCCCAAGTGGAATTTGAACCCAGATCTGGCTAACTTCAAAGCCACTGCCCTTAGCCACTATCCTACATTGCGCCATCCCTCTCTGAGGCCCTGGCCCACGGGGGTGGCAGCCCGGAGTGCCCTAAGGACCCAGAGAGCAGGGTGAGAGGAGTCGCTAGGCTGCATGGTGCTGGGCCTGGAGAGTCGATGCCCTCCTCATGGCAGGGTGCTCTGGCAGCCTTGTCTTTGCCTTCCACCTGAGTAGGAACTGGAACTGGACCTGGCTTAGCTCTCAGAATGCATCATTTGGCAGTTCAGGGCGGTAAAACTCTGAGCCTGGAGCTGAGATACCATCGACCTCAGGCCTAGGGAGGGACTTGCTCAGCCTGTGCAGGGAAATGAATGACCATTGTCCCCCCTGTGCTGTAGGTCTCCAGTATCCGCATGCAGGGGCTCCTCTTGCTGTTCTTTGCCAAGCATCAGCATTTGCCCTTTGTCCAGATCCTCTCTACTAAATCCACCCCCACTGGCCTCTTCGGTTACTGGGTAAGGATGAGTTGTCTGAGTCATGAGCTGGAGGCCTTCTGCCACTGGGCTGGGGAGGGCTGGACGCTTTAGGGGTGAGCAGGTGGAAAAGGGGGGTGGCGTGAGTCTTCCAAGCCAGTGCCCCGCATACCTACTACTCTCCTGCCTCTGGAAGCTTAGCACCCTTGAGACCTCAGGCCGGGTGAGCAGGGCTCTTAGATGGAGAGAGGTCACTCCAGGGAACTGAGCGTCTGGCCCTGGGAGGTCTTGCGGCAGGCGAGACCATCTCCCCTCAGGCTTGGGATGGGAAAGGGGAGGTGTGTCTCACCCAGAGCAACTTCCCACCCTTCTGCCCACTTGTCCTACCAGGGGAACAAAGGGGGCGTCACCATATGCCTGAAGCTTTATGGCTACTATGTCAGCATCATCAACTGCCACCTGCCTCCCCACATGGCCAACAATGACCAGCGGCTGGAGCACTTTGACCGGATCCTGGAGATGCAAAATTTTGAGGGACAAGATATCCCCAACATCCTGGAGCATGAGTGAGCATGCACTTGTCAACTGCTGCCCCTGTCCTCGCTCCCACACCAGCCCAGGCTAGCATTCTGCTCAGGCAGCCTGGGTTCCACCCCAGCCCTTCCCAGCCTCTTCCCTGACGCCCCATCTGCTCTCCTGTCCAGCTTTACCTGCCTGGGGTCTAGGACCTCTTCCCTTTCCCTGGCCCCCATGTCCTGCTTAGGAATTCTGGACACTTCTGAAGATCCCAGATCAAGAACCCCAGGGTCCCTGAGGTCACCCACAGGGACCTGGTTCTCAGCCGTGCCTGGTGGCCCATTGAGGGAGGGGGAGGGCGGGCAAGAGCCTGCTCTGTGTTTGTTGTTCGCCCCTGGGGGCTGGTCTCTTTGGCTTACACGGCAAGGAAGCGGCCATGAGAACAGTTCATTAGGGCTCATGCCGTGTCGTCACCGGCTCTGGCTCCTCTCCCAGCTTCTGGCACCTCACCTGCCACCTGAGCTCTGCACTGGAGGAGCGTACAGGCCTGGGGCCCGTTGCTCCTGGCTTCTCTCACCTCATCACAACCCTCAGCTGCCTTCTTTTCTCTCTGCAGCTTCATTCTCTGGTTTGGAGATATGAACTTTCGGATCGATGACTTTGGGCTGCATTTTGTCCGGGAATCCATAAAAAATCGGTGCTACAGTGATCTGTGGGAGAAGGATCAGGTATCGAGTGAGGGAAGGGTCCGGAGGGGTGATCAGAGCCCATTGTGGAAGTCCAACATCAAATGTGGGGGGCACTGCTCAGGTCCCTTAGCCGCCTGTTCTCCGTTTCCAGGCCTCTGAAGTCCTTGTTCCTGGGCGGGGAGGAGTTTAACAGGGCTTTGCACCCAGGGGCCTGATCTTTCCCTGGAGGAGCTGCTGGCTGTGCGTCAAGTTAGGGAACAAGAAGGGCTTCGGCTTACCATGGTCCTGCACCGGGCACCAGCTGTCTGGATCCCAGTTGTCTTTTCCATCCCCAGGCTTGGCCTCTGGGGGGACCCTGGCTACCCCAACCTCCCCTCTGATACGTGTTTGCTGGTGACTCCCAGAGAGACGGAATTCAAAGCCTGGTCCCTGTAGTCCAAGGACTGGGAAATGGCAGGCAGCTGCCTCCCCTGGGACTATGGGGTAATGTTTGCAAAAGGATTCAGCTTTCCTGGGGCTGGGAGTGGAGTGGGGATGGGCCGCTGAGGCCGTCACTGGGGCAGTGAGGAAGCGAGGTGGTGTTGCTTGACTCTTGACCTGCGGCGATGGCATGTGCTGATCCCTCGCATGGAGCGTGTGCTGGGCCACTGGGTCAAGACTCCTTGGAGACGGGCCTGGGCCTTTCTCTCCAGCTCAGCATTGCCAAGAGACACGATCCACTGCTCCGGGAGTTCCAGGAGGGCCCGCTGCTCTTCCCACCCACCTACAAGTTTGATAAGAACTCCAACAACTATGACACCAGGTGAGGGGGCTCCCCCAGGAGAGGATCAGCCTGCCACAGATTTGGACTGAGCTTGTGAGGAGGAAATGAGGGGCCAGGAGGCCTGGGAAGTCAGGTTGTGGGGGCCCTGGTGGCAGAGGGAGCTGCCTCAGAGTAGAAGTGTCAGGGAAGCAGGAACAGATGCAGGCATCCCCTCAGGGGTGGCACCTTCCACCCACCTCAGGCGGCGCTGACTGTGGGAGCTGTCCCACATTGTCCTCAGAGAGCAGGAAGGTGCTGGCAAGGGTGGGAGCTGGGGGCAGAGGTGGGGCAGGTAGGGCGAAGAGGGGGTGGGGGGAAGCAGCTGATTCCTCACTTGGGAGGGACTGCATTCCAGCATTCTGGGAACCTGTGCTTTCACCCCCCCAGGCTTTCTGGTCCTTCCCAGACAGGGGCACAGAGCTCTTGGCTCAGCCCGTTACTGGTATCGGGTACCCCTCTCCCAGCTGTTAGTGGATCAGGTACTACTTCGGAAGATGAAGTAGTAGGTGTCAATGGAGGAGTTTACGGGGAACAATGTAGAGACGGTGCATCTAGTAGTTAGAAATACAGCTCTGCTCCTCCTCAGCTGCATGTCCTTGGATAAGGTATTTAAACCTCAATTTTGTCATCTACAAGATGGGGGTGATAGTAGTACCCACCTCATGGGGTTGAGGATCGAATGAGACCTTGCGCATGCGTAGCCCGGTGCCTGGCAGCTGGTGAGCACTGTAGCAGCTGCTGGTATTCGATTCGTGTCTTCAGGTAGTAGTAGTTTTATCGAAAACCTCTCTAGGACCCGAGAAGGGGCCAGGTAACCACCCAAACTTTAAGCTTAGGCAGAGGGTCAAGAGCAGCTCCGCCATGAAGTTCCCGGCCCAATTTGGCAAGGATTCTCGTCTCTTTGAAGAAAAAGAACACCTTCCATGTTACAGGGTTTTTGTTACACCCAGAGCAGCTCCTTCACTTACTCCTCACAGCAGGACTGTCTTATGAGGGAGGCAGGAGGTGCCTCCAGGGCAGGGCCTCTGGAGTGTCGGGAGTGAACAGGCGTCTCCCCAGCCAGGCCTCGGTGAGAGCTGGAGCAGACGGCCCTGTGCTGGCAGGGGCATGACAGAGCCCCCGCGTCTCCCCCCTGAGGAAGGGAGAGGGGGCGAGGCCTTTCAGGAGTGTGGAGCAAGACGTGCTGGGGTCATAGGCTGGCCAGTGCACACAAGAAGAGGCCATGAAGACTGGAAACAGAGTCGAGCCTGGGCAACAGAGCAGGCCGGAAAGGAGGTACGAAGGCAGGGGCCAGCTGGCCGGCCCGGGGCCCCAGCTGCGGGGAGACTGGTAGTCTCTCCAGCCGTCCGTTGGAAATGAGAGCCGTCGTGGAAATTGTGCGGCCCCGGTGGGATGGGCCTGGGCCTCGGTGGCTGGGACCTCCAACCAGTGGACTTCCAGTGCTCACTTGCTAGCTGGAAGATTGCTGCCGGCAGGCCATGTGGCCCAGGGTCCCTTTGTCCCCCACCCCCCAGGTGCGGTAGGGAAGCCACCAGGAGACGAGAAGGCATTGCAGACAGCTGAGCATTGGCTGGGCTGTGATCAGCAAGTACTGAGATTGGGTACAGAGGCCCCGAGATGTTAAAGGACTTCCCCAGGAGGCTCAGCTGGTAATGGCAGCGCTGGACTCGGTGGCCTGCAGTGCTTCTGTCTAGCCCACAGCACCTCCAAATTCACAGCCAGTCTTGCCGGCAGCAGCAAAAAGGAGGGCAGGTTGGGGATAGCAGAGGCTTGCTAAGGAGGATGCAGATACTTATTTCCACACAATAGGTACAGTCCACATTGTGACTGACATTACCGAGCACTTACCATGTGCCTGTGCAACCAGACTCTTCTCCATCCTTGACAAACCAGCTCAGACATCGTCACTGTTAGAAAGCCTTCCCTGACCCTTCCCCATCTCACAGAGAGTTCTCCCCTGCCCATATGCTGCCTGAAAGCCTTGCACACACCATGCTTCCAGCGTTGCTTTCAAGACACAGTGTGCTTTTCCTGCTGTACTACGGATGCCTGAAGAGACTGGCTCTGATTTATGACCATCTCTGGTATGTAGCATAGTGCCTGGCATATGTTCGAATTGGGAGCCTGAGAGGACAGAAGGAAAAGATAAGGTATTTAAGGAGCAGCCAGTCTATTAGAGGGATCCACCCATAGCAAGAGAGCCAAATAAGCACTGTCAAGTCCAGGAGTTGGCCAATAGAAGATTCTAGAACTCTGGAAGTGCTGAAGGAGGTTGAGCCAATGGTAAAGAGGAGGGCAGCTGAACCAGGAAGAGTCAGTCAGAGCTGCTGTCAAGGAAACAGCGGAGTTTGGCAGAGAGAAGGGAGAGGGGCAGGCCTTCCTGTCAGTCAGCCACGCTGATGAGAGGCACCTTGAGAAGAGCCTGACCAGCTGTACAAAGTGACTGTGAGTGAGTTGTGTGCGGGACACGGTACACATGCAGCTTTGCCCAGCCACAGCAACATCCCCTGAGCCAGGATGTAATGAGAAACGAGGTCAGCTCCATTACAGAGGAGGATGAACAGGCCCAAAGCGGGAAATCCTGTTAAAGTCAGGGATTGCTATAGGGTTTTGTTACAGTTGACATGAGCCTGGTCAGCCTCTCCACTAGGCAATGAACAGAGGATATTATGATCAATCTAGTCAAGACTCAGGTCCAGAGTTCAGTAAGCCATCTATAGGGAGCCGAAGGGAAAAGTTCCATTTCAAACCCAGAAATAGAACACATCACTACTTTGGGGTCAGTAAATCGGCTCAACTTTCTGGGCTCTTAAAGAGAAATTTGCAGAGCTAGTTGGTTCTAATTTGTCTCAAGTAAGGACATAGTGATCTCCAGAAACAATTCTTGTACTTAGTCATAACCATTCAGCCAAAAAGCCTAAGTGAGGTCCGGTTCTGGTAAGGCATGCGATGAGACAGTTCTGGCTGCTGGGAATTGGCCACATTGGAGTGCAGTGGGAGGAGCATGGACTTCATGGACCTGGGCAGGCATCCGACTTCCACCTGCACAGGGTGACCCCTGAACTTCAGTGTCTTGTAGTGGGGGGAGAATGTGACCTGTAACATTCTTCCAGTGCCGAGAGGATCAGGACAGTCCATGAGACACCTATCACAGTGTCAAAGGCACAGAAGGACCCCCATCTTTTGCAATTGTCATTATTAGAAATAGAGAATTGGGCGGGGGAGGGCCCCGCTGGGGGGCGCAGTCGGTTAAGCATCCAACTCTTGTTTTCGGCTCAGGTCACGATCTCAAGGTTGTGGGATCAAGCCCCAAGTCTGGCTCCATGCTCAGCACAGTCTGTTTGAGTTTCTTTCTCCCTCTGCTCCTCCCTGCTGCATGCATGCGCGCATGCACCTCTCTCTAAAATAAATCTTTTTTTTTTTAAAGAAAGAAATGGAGAACTGAGAGAATATATGTAATATTTAACTTGTACATACACGTTTATTTATTTGTTTATTTTTAAGTAGGCTCCATGCCCAACATGAGGCTTGAACTCACGACCCTGAGATTGAGAGTCACATGTTCTACCAACTGAGCCAGCCAGGCACTCAAATTTGTACACATTTAACTTGTTTCTTGTCTTTTTTTTGTCAGACAAGCTCCTCGAGGACTTTGTCAGTCCCGTTTTTCAGATCCCCAGTTGCCCAGCATATAATAAGGGCTCAGTAAATCTTCGTTGAAGGACTGAAGCATACAGGTGCCCAGTGATAAGCCTGGGCAGGCCCTGGAAAAGGAGGAAAGGAAGACGGGTTGAGAGGTACCGAGGAGGAAGGAGAGCCAGACTGTGGTCAGGACTTGGGGAGGATCCTGAAGTGACAGCAAGTCACCATAATAGGGAAGTTGGGGAGGAGAAATGCTTTGAAGGGAAAGTGGTACATTTTGTGTGGTTCATTCCCAAGTTTAAGCATTGCTAGGTACTGAATGTCCAAGGTGGGTTCGGAGATTCTATGTCTGTCATCTCTGGAGTGGAAATAGCATATTCTGATGTGCTCTGAACACTCCTCAGAAAAGTAGAAGGTAGAGACAACCCCAGGGGCCCCAAACAGATGTGGTTGAGCCAGTTAGCACTTCTTGACCACTCCCTTAACACACCTTAATTTGTTTAATCCTCACAGTGGCTCTTTGAAGTGAGTACTGTTATCACCCGGTCTTAGGGCTGAAGAAGCTGAGGCTGGGAGAAGTGAAGCCACTTGCCCATGGGCACATAGCTTCCTCTCTCTCTCTTTTTAAAACTAGATTACCAGTTAATTATAAAATGATATAATTCAGGAACCGGCAGATGGAAAAGAGGCCTAGGGCAAGGTGTGGGGAGAGGGCGAGGAGCTTCCATGCCCTCTGAGCCTGCCACTCCAAGTCACGTGTTCACCAAGCAGAACCACATAGCTCTTAATTAACAGGGCAGAACCTCCCCCCAGATCCTGGTGTCTGATTGTGGAGTCGGACTTTACCAGCGAGACATCATTCTGCCTCTCTGTTGCTAGAAGACTGTATTGCTGTTGAATTGACAACAGTATGTCGGAAATGTTTATTTAAAATAGTAAATGGGGGCGCCGGGGTGGCTTAGTCCATCAAGCATCTGCCTTTGGCTCAGGTCTTGATCCCGGAGTCCTGGGATCGAGCCCCGAGTCAGGCTCCCTGCTTGGCAGGGAGCCTGCTTCTCCCTCTCCCCTGCTTGTGTGCTCTCTCTCTCTCTCTCTCTCTCAAATAAATAAAATAAATTTAAAAATCTTAAGAAAACAAATAGTAAGTGAGGGGTGACTGGCTCCTGCATCGGCCTCCCTGCTCAGCGGGGAGCCTGCTTCTCCCTCTCCCTCTGCCGCTCCCCCTGCTTGTGTTTGCTCTCTCTGTCAAATAAATAAAATCTTTAAAAAAAAAATAGTGAAAAAAAAAGACAAAAAATAGCATTGCAAACTGGTTATCAGCATCTGAAAATGTATACGTTAGGATTAGATGGGCATTTTTTTTTTTAAAGATTTTATTTATTTATTTGAGAGAGAGAGAATGAGAGAGAGAGAGCACGAGAGGGAAGAGGGTCAGAGGGAGAAGCAGACTCCCTGCCGAGCAGGGAGCCCGATGTGGGACTCGATCCCGGGACTCCAGGATCATGACCTGAGCCGAAGGCAGTCGCTTAACCAACTGAGCCACCCAGGCGCCCCTAGATGGGCATTTTTGAGGAGAGAGATTGAGTTTGGGGTTTTAGTGAGTTTGGGTTCCACAAGCAGTTGTGCATACTACGTGCCAGGCTACGCAGGAGATCTCAAGAGCCAGTCCTTGCCTCCCACGCTCACACACGAACCAGTATGCCGACTGGGAAACAGAAAACGACAGCCCCGAATAACATAATAGGGGAAGCACTGGTGCAGAATGCTTTAGAAGCGGAAAGTAGAGCTCAAAGATGGCTTTCGGACAAAGACAGCATTGGAACTGTGAAGAAGGGTGTTCCGGGCAGCACAAACTGCACGAGTAAAGGTCCAGAGGCTGGAGAGTCACTGTGGTGGGCGGGTGTGGGACAGTGGTGGGAGATGGTGTAGAACGAGGGGGTCAGGCTCCCTAAAAGCTGTGCTTGGGGTCCTGAGCTTTATTCTGGAGGCAGTGAAGACTCCTGGAAGGTTTTAAAGTAGGGAACCATCTGACTAGGCTTTACTACTCTGGGTTCATTTAAAATCAAGGGGGAGGAACCCAGAACAGCAGCTGCCCCCACCCCCATTGCAGGACTTGGGGCCCCCCATTGGAGGGCACGGCCTGGTCTTAGAGAATACCCCTGTAGCTGCCTGGGCATGGCTGTGTTAGTCAGAGGCTTGCCTGTCTTGGGCAACCACAGTTTCCTAGGGGAGGAAAGCACTTCTGTCTCCAGAGGTGTACAGCCTCTCGGGCTCCTCAGCGAAGCTAGTAAGCAAAGAACAGGCCAGAGGTGTCTCGGTTGACTCTTGAGAAGAAAGAGTCACAATAGCCAGTGATTACAGGGAGCTTATTTTGTGCCAGGCACTGTGCTAAGTAATTTTGTGTGCTTTCCCTCATTCAATCATGTCAGCAACCCTGTGAGGTAACTATTGTTACCTTCATTTTACAGATGAGGAAGCTGAGGTCGAGGAGCGGGTGGCCTGGTCATGAAGAGCTTGTGCTCTGTGGTCGTGCTGCCTGGCCTTGAATCCTGACTCCACCACTCAGTAGCTGTGTGATTTCGGGAAAGTTCGCAGAGTCTCGATTTCTCCGCCTTTGAGAGAGGGGGACCGGCGGTACTGATGGCAGGCACACAGTGAGCCTCCCCAAGTGCTTCCCTTTCCTGAGGTTGCACCGTTAGTGAGAGGGAAACACAATTCCAGCTTACCTCTAACTCTAAAATCAATCCAGACCTCAGCTTCTTTGGTCTACTGCTGCTTTCGGTCTAGAAGTCAGAAAAGCTTTGAAGTGGAATGTTTCCGAATCACAATTTGATATATTAAAAACGTAGACTAGACTGGAGGTCCTTGGCCGAGTCTGACAAAGGCCAGTATGCTTCTGATTCTCTCGGGTCTCCTCCTCCCTGCTGCCATGCCACACTTCCACTGGGGCCCAGGGGTCTCTTGGCCACTGAGAGGCCCTGGTGTTAGGGGCTCCAGCAGGCTTGCTGGGGGTACCGTCTTGCTCTCCTGCCAACCCTTCTCTCCACGTTGGTTTTCCTCTCCACCCCCAGTGAGAAAAAACGCAAGCCTGCATGGACCGACCGCATCCTGTGGAGGTTGAAGCGGCAGCCCCAGGCCAACCCCCCCACCCAGAGGCTGCCAGCCCCCCACTTCTGCCTGTCTCTGAGGAGCTATGTCAGCCACATGATGTACTGCATCAGTGACCATAAGCCGGTCACCAGCACCTTTGACTTGGAGGTGAATTTCCAGGCTGCCTGGCACTTGACAGAGCACCCGCTCGGCCACCTCCCCAACCCCCCCAGCCCAGGATTCTAATGTCAGCACGTCCCCCAGGGGAGACCTGTAGGAGGACACGATTGCCACCCCTCCCAGGTCAGGTACCCCAGCTCTTAGAAGCTGTTGAGGGCTCCGTCAAAAATGTGTTCAGACCCTTTGTAAGTAGGTTTCCATTTCCTCTTGGTACTGTCCCTTGGGGCTAATGGGTTCCATTATGCTTATTACCCACCATGTAAAGTAGGACTTCCTTCTGTTTGTCCTAAATCTGCCTGGATCAGGTTGCAAAGGGAGCTCCCTCCATCCTTGCATCTTGCCATCAAATGACCAAGGCTATGTTGACATCCTCTGAGACCTGCTGGCTGCCCTCAGCCTTCACTTTTTCATGGCTGGTTTGTCTGTCTTTATACTGTTGTGTGTCTCCACATGCCTACCGCTGTTCTGTCCACGGCTACTCCACTACTGTGGGTCAGGAACCCTAGAGGCCTGAGAGCCCCTACCTGGCTTCTTTCTTAAACCTGTCAGCAACTCCCCCATTCTCCCCCACCCTCTCCCCTCAGCACTTGGCTGTCTACTTGGTTACCCACCGGGCCCCCAGCCCCATCCTCCCTGGCACGGCCAGCCACCCCTCACAAGCCTTTGGCCCTTTCTCCTTCCAGCGGGTCAGCCAAGGTCTTGATACTCCCTTGGGGCAGCCCAGTGAAGTTCTGTGCCCACCCCCTTGTGTGCCCCTCTTCCCCCTCACTGACGCTGATGTGTTGGAAAGTTCACAGGAAGAACATGAGCCTCAGAGAAAGGAATGGTGCTATGGGATTTCACCCTCTTTCCCACCCCTATGTAGCTGAAGCCATTGGCGTCTGCCCCACTGATCACTCTGATACCTGAGGGGCTGTGGACCATGGAGAATGACATGTTGGTCAGCTACTCCTTGACCCCAGACTTTCTCAGCAGCCCCTGGGACTGGATTGGACTATACAAGGTGATGTGGCAGGCAAGACGTGGTGTCCATCCACCATACCCCTCTGGTTTATCCATCCTGGGGGCTCACGGGACTTGGGTGCAGAGACTGAGGAGCTCGTGCTCATCCCACGGGGGGCCTTGCCCCCCCTAGAGGCTGGCGGTGAAGGGGAGAGTGCATACAGCACAATGGCCAGCCTGAGGCATCTCCTTGGGACTTGTCATAGGTGCTGTGTCCTCCCAGACCACCGACTGCCCAATCCCCTCTCCCACAGGTGGGCCTGCGCCACATTAATGACTACGTGTCCTATGTCTGGGTCAGGGACAACCAGGTCTCCTTCAGCGATGGGCTGAGCCAGGTACCTGCCCGCTTCCCTGAGATAGGTATTCCGTGTCTCCCACGTGTGGGCTTGCCTGAGCACTGCTCTGTCTTTTGGAAGGAACAGAGGGTGGGATAACTTGTTGCTGAGAGCTGGGTGGGGCTCAGGCCGGGGAGCTGACCCCATTCCTCTCCATCCTCCCATCAGGTATACTTCAATACCAGCAATATCCCTGAGACCGAGGACCAGTTTCTCCTCTGTTACTATAGCAACAGTCTACATTCTGTGGTGGGGATAAGCAAACCCTTCAAGGTATGCTGGTGGGGGAAGGGGACTTGAGCCCCTCCTCAGTTCTCCAATGCCACAGGCCTAGGAACCCACTTGGACCCTGGAGCCGCATGCACTGGAGAAGGGGAGTGACGGAAAGGCACAAAGGAAAATCTGCTCCCCGCTCCCCCCTCCTACTCACCGCCTGTTTTATCCTTGCAGATCCAGCCTGGCTCCTTGGCGGAGGACCCACTGGGGGAAGCCCAGCCACACCTCTGAGCCCGGATGAGAGTGGATCCAGGGTGGAGGCCAGAGATGGTCTGCCCACACCGCCTGCAGTGCTGGGGGCCCAGCCCAGCCCCCGGAGGAGGCGGCAGGTATCCTCCGTCTCCCTGGGGAGCTCTAGCCACACTCCTTTGCTCTCTCCGGTCCAGATCTCTAGAATCGGCCACCTAAATACAGGTTTTTGTTGCTGAGATATGAGTGAAACCAGCTAGTTTGTCAACAGTGAAGACCTGGGACAGTCCACTGGATGTGGGAAGGACCCTCCAGCTTGTATCTTGTTTCTTGATTTTCCCCACACGCACTCCCAGTCCCGCCCAAGCAGGCCTGCCAGGCACATGCCCCATCTGGCACAGGCCTGCATTCTTGTCACGCCATCCTGGGCCTCAGGCTGCCTGGGAGGGGGGAGAAGCTTGCATCTGCACAGGCCCCATAGGCTGGTTGGCACAAGCAGCCCTGGGTTCCAGGAGTCTTGGCATCTCGTTGCCTGTCCCCCTGGGGGATGGGCAGAAGGTTTGGGATCCCTGCTTGTAGCAAAAGCAGTTAGACTAAGTGGGCAGGATGGAGGGGTCCCTCTACCCAGGCTCTTATGTAGGCCCTGTGGGCAGGATGATGAGTGTCCTGCCAGCACCCCTACCCCCATGGAGTCTGACCCAGGAAGTTCCAGGGCTGGTGGGTCAGGCTCCGTGCCCTAACCTGCCCTCTTGTGAAGGTTTGGCAGGTGGTAGAGGAACTGTGGCCACAGACTTTTCCAGGGTGGTTCTTGCCCAGTCAAGCTCATCTGCTCCTGCCCTTGCCTACAGTCACTGGCCAGAAACCTGTCCTCTCTCTAGACTGCCCTAGCACCTAGAAGTGGAGGCAGGCAGAGAAGAGAGCCAGAATCTAGACATTTTGGAGAATCTGGCCTTGAGGGTCTTCAGAGAACATTCTCTAGGTGCTGTGTGGGCACTCAGTCCCACTCCCGCCACTTGCCTCCAGCCACTGGTGATTCAACGGCCCTTCTCCCAGGAGAAGACACCTCAGGGAACCTGCTCTGTGATTGTCATGCCCATCCTATGACCTGAGACTGAGGGACACTCCAGTCACTCTGTGATCCATACTCCACCCTGGGAGCCATGTATACCATCAAGAACTGCCCCTCCGGCTTCTAGTGGCCTGTGGCTGTGTTCTATGTCTATTGTATTGGGGGGGGGGGATAATTAGAAACATGGCTTTTACACTTGTGTGTGGCTCCATGATGGGGGGGGCGGTGCTGGTGGTGGTGGTATGACTCCATGCCCTTGCTAGACTCTAGGACGAGGGCCCTGTAGATCTATAGTAGACTTGCTGTGTCTGAGAGTGGCAGATGGTGCCCGGATGAGAATGGGATGAGGTCCCAGGGTGGTGGCCTCTGGGTCCCTAGCACAGTTGGAGTGAGCCACCTATGCTATTAGGCACTTTGTTTCCCTTGCTGCGAAGTAGAATGGGTTTCTGGGACCTGACGACTCTCAGAAAAGGTGCACTGCATTCACTGGTTCATCTCTCCTCACCCACATTCCTTCATCTTAGTCTTGAGCCTTGGTCCCAGGTCAAGCTATCCCAAAAAGTCATCTTTTTTCCCCTGAGCCTCCTGCCCCATTGTCTCCATGGTAATCTCTGTCCCTGCCCCAACACACTCACGCCTGAGGACCCCTGACCACTCGCACTTGCCCACCTCTGGCCTTCTCACCTGCACAAGCCTCTTGGGTGCTGCCACACCGCACCTGTCATTTGGCAGCCAGAGAAACCAAGGCTCAGAGGAGTGGCGTGATCCATCCAAAGTTACACAGGCAGCCGTGGTATCATGCAGAGCCAGAAACACAGGAATGAGGTCAAGACCTGGATTTGAATCCGAGTTACACCTCTACCCACATAGGAATCTTGGTTGTCTGTAAAATACAAATAATGTATGCATTCACAAGATCATTGTGAGAGAACGGTTGGAAAAACACCCAAAGCAATAGCATACCTATCTCCTTACTCTGATCCATGTAGCCCTGGGGCTGGATCTCAGGGGACACCCCACCACCACCTTCTGCTTGTGGAGCATGCTTGTCCATGTGCCCACCTCTCCCCTTCCCCCTTAAGTCTTCATACACCCCTACCCGTCCCTCCTGCTGGGGCCCGCCCCGGCCTGGGAGGGGCGACTCCAGCAGTGATTGAGAGGCCGGGAAGGGGAAGGGGGAGTGTTCTGCCTCCTCTTGGCCCCAGTCAGGATATGGCTGCTCTGGGCCCAGCCCTGACCCGCTGGGTGGAAACAGGAAATGTGTGAGACTTGGTGTGCACTGGGTCTCTGTGCCTGGCTCCACAGCTGATAAGGGCCATTGTGTGGCCACCGGGGATGAGCCTGCCCTAGATAAATGTGCTTCTCAGAGGAAGGAAGGAAGCTTTGCTGGCCTTTCCTGGGCGGGGGATGCCATGGGGAGGGAAGGAAAGTGTGCCCCAGGGGAAGGTGCTTGTCCAGGGGGCTGTTGGGGCCAGCACCGGTCCCCTGGACTCCACCCCTCCCATGCCAGTGTCTCCCTCTGGAAAGGTCACTTTTCCCCATCCCCTTCTTACTTCCTATAAGGAATGGCTGAAGACCTGAGGGCTCAGTCCCAGGCCAGGGGAGTGTCAGCAGTGATTTAGCAACAATAAAGATAGAAAACAGGACATTGGGGGTGAGGGGCACCTGAGGGTACTATGGAAAAGTAAGAAGCCAACAGGGCTAAGGCCGCCCAGAGCCAGGGAGTCCAGTCCTCCCAAGCATTAAATGCCCCTGAGGAGGGCAGGACAGGGGCCTCCTCACAGTGCCTTCCTGCCTCGCCAGCTAAACTCTGCTCAACGTGGCCAGCCCCCAGCAGCTCTGGCCTCCCAAACTCAAGGGGCTCTCACCTGCTGCTGTCGGGGAAGGAGGCAAGCTGGGGAGACATGCTGGAGGGGCAGCCCTATTGACAGATCTTGTTGCCTTAGGGCAGGATGTGCGTTCTGGTTTGGGGAACACAGCTCTCTAGCTGACACCAGTGAGTGGGCAGCAGCAGAGGCCTGGCCATGGAGCTGTTGGGGAGTAAGATCTCCTACCCTTTGACCTGGAGGCCAGGGTCCCCCACGAGTGGCTGCATCAGCCTCTCTGGTTACCTGGGACAACAGGCATTTCCTCCGTCCCTCAGCCCCTCCTCTTCCTGCCCCAACCCGCTGGGCCAAGAGGCCTCCTAATCAGACCTGGGCTGCTCCAGCTGTGTCCTGAGGAGCTGGACCAGACACATCCCCTGGGGCTGGAGTTGAAGCTGAACCAAGTGGCCATCCCAGTGTGGGACCAGATTCCTGGCTCTGGGAGCAGCCTGAGCCAGTGGACAGGCAGGCTGTTGCTCAGCAAGCACCCGGGCTCTCTGTTGGCGGAATGGCGCTGCAAGTGGAGCTGATACCCACTGGGGAGATCATCCGCGTGGTTCATCCCCACAGGCCCTGCAAGCTTGTAAGCGGGGATGCTCTGGGCTGGGAGAAAGGGTGGCAATATCTTCCCAGGGCCCAGCAGCTCCCTCAAGCAAACCCCTCAGGAAAGAGGTGAGCAGAAGGGAGGGGTTCTGACCTTTGGTGGGACGGGAACAGGCTGGACAAAAAGGGATAAATGGAAGGATGGGGTAAAAGTTTAAAGCACCTCTTAAGAGCAGGATTTTTCAAAGCAGAAATCTGGGTTTGAATCCCTTCTCTTCCAGCTCCCTGGTCCTCGGTAGGCTGGGCTATGAACTGCGCATAACACGCAGGTGACAGGACTGCTCTGAGGCCAAAGGACTGACGGTGTATGTAAAGCTCCAGACGCATAGTACACGTTCAGTGCATGCCTCCCCTTTCTTCCGGCCCAAAGAACTAGGACTGGCCAGCTCAGAGCAGTACCTTGAGCAGGGAACGGGGTGTGTGTGTGTGAAAGCCACAAATGGGGAGGAACTGACCTGGCCTGGCAAAAGTGGGGCGAGTTGGGGGTGGGAGGACAGTGTCGGGTTTGCTCTGAGGTTGCATTCCTAGAATGAGGAGATGCACCCTTCCACCCAGCACTGCAGCGAGCGCGCCGGGTGTGGAGGAGGGAGGGAGGGAGTGTGTGTGTGACTGTGACGCGCCCCGTCCCGGGAGCTGGTTGCACAGTGTGCGGCACCAAGCGTCCGCGGACTCGGGCGGGGACCGGGGCCAGGGCTGGCGGGGGCGGGGCGGGGCCGGAGGGTTCGCGCGCGCGCGCGCGCGGGGGCCTGGGCCCTGCCGGGGATGACGACAGGCAGCGGCCCGGCCCCGGGCGGGCCCTGGGCGGGGAGAGCGTGCCGGGGCCGCGGACTCCGGAGCCGGCCAGGCCGCCCAGCCTGGCCCCCGCCTGCGCACCCGAAGAGCCGAGCCGGTGGGTAACGCGGGGCGCTGGCGCGGGGCGGGCAGCAGCCGCGTGGTCCCGGGAGGGCTTCGCTGGCGGGCGGGAAGGGGAAAAGGGCAGGCGGCCGGGCGCCAAGCCAGGCCCGGAGCTGCGGTGCGGGCGACGGGGGTCGCCGGTCCGGAGATCGCTGGGGCCGAGGGTCGGCCCCGGCCCGCCCTATACGGGGTCCCAGAACTCGGCCGCGTGGAGACTTAAGATTACTTGCGGGTAACGTGAGGGCGGGGAGGGGCGGCTGGGGTCGCAGGACCCAGGCACCCTGTGCGCCCTTGGGGCCCCTCCAACAGCCGGGCTTTGCCTCTGGGTTCGGGAGAGGCCGCCCGCGCCCCGCCCCTTCCCGTACTCCGCCCCCCCACTCCCCCGCCCTCGACCCCGCAGCGCCGGTTTCCACGCGCGTCTGGGAGCCTGTGAGGGCGGCGGCCAGGGTCTCCGAGATAAATGAGAGAATGAATGGTTGGCCCACGGCCTTGTTCAGTTCCCGGCACGCTCTGGGCCCTGTGATTCATTCATTCGTACAGGCATCCACGAGGGGTTACTGAGCCCCTCCTGTGTGCCGAGCTGGGTGTACGCCCCGGCGGGAGCAGTCTCCTGGGAGAGACTGACAAGGAAACCGGCGATTAGAGCGTGATGCGATAAGGAGGGGGCTATGTGTTGGGAGAGGCAGGAAGGGTTTCTGGAGGAGGTGATACCTGAGCTGAGTCTTCAAGAATGAGTAAGAGTCAGTCAAGTGGGGAGAAGGAGGGTGCGCCGGACCAAGGAAGGTGCAGGTGCAAAGGCAAGAACCTTAGGGAGAAAGCCACGTGTGACAGGGGTGGGAGCGGTTCCTTCTGGCTGTGTGTGGTGCTGAGGGAGGCATGGGGAGAGAAGGGACTGGAGAGGGCCACCCCTGGGATCACACAAGAACACAGGCGCACTGGCGGTAAACTGAAGAGAGAGTCTATATACAGGCACCTGGCAAGAAGCACTGGGTGTGAAGAATGGGTGTGGCACACGGAAGGGTGCCCTATAAACTTACACTCTATTAACCTAAGATGTTAATTGATCAGATATGCACTTGTAAATACCAAAGACTGTTGTGGGAAAATGGATTGGAGGGAGGAAAGCAAGGAGGGCAGTTTGGAGGTTGCTGCCTGATCCAGGAGCAGAAGAGTGAAGGGGGAGCAGAGGGAAGGTTTTAGCAGGTGGTGACTTCCTGGTGTGAGAAATGGAGAGAGGGGAACAGGCTTTTTGATCCCAGATGGTGATGACTATCTGGAGGTGCCTCCCCGCTTTCTACAGATAGGATATTGAACAAGGAGGAGAGGTCAGGGGGCAAGGTGCTCTGTCTACTTCTGCTGGGCCCCCAAGCAGAGGTGTCTGGCAGGTCAAAGGCTCTAGAGCTAGAGTGTATAGCCGTTGACTGGGGCCCTGTGAACAATCAGGTAGAGAGCCCTTTAGTCTGCACCTTTCACCTCCACTGCCCCTCAAAACAGTTCCCTAGAGTCTGGAACAGTCCTTGGTGGGACAGCCTGGGCCCAGACCTAAGATATGTTTGATGAATATGAATTGAGCACCTGTTCTGTGCCCAGTACTTCCCTGTGGGTGAGATAGGCGATGGTTCTTTCTGCTTCCCCAGTATGCCATGAGGCTGCCTCTGTAGAAATCAGCTTTTAGCAGAAGTCTGAGGGTCCTCAGAACACCCTCTCCAGACCTGCATGGTCCTTTGAACATTTGAGGCTGCCCACTGCGTTCCCCACTCCTCCAGAGGTCAGGCCAGAGAGCACCTGGCTCACACTACATAAAGGGCACTGTATGACCCAGGTCTGCTGGGTCTGCCCCATCCCTGCCTTTACAGGAAACAACACAGCTGGGAGGAGACCCAGAGGCAGTCTTGGGAAATCAGTCCTAGGTCACTCGTGTGGCCATGGCTTCTCCCCAGCCTTCAGCCAGCCCCTAGGTGCAGGGCCATGCTGGGGGCCCAAAGGCAGTGCCCACTCCCTAGCTGCTCCTCCTAAGGCCTACATGTCGATAGTCACACAACGCCAACAGGGGTATTCATTGGGCACTGCAGTCACGGGTTTACTGAGGAAGGTCCCAGCCTCTCAGGGTAGCGAGTTAACCTTTACAGAGAAGCGGAAGCTTGGAAATCCACCAGCCTCGCTCTCCGGTAGGGCAGCTCTACAGCAGCAGTGAGTGCTAGAGTTCCCGGTTCCAATCCCACCCCTCCTTCTACTAGTCCTGGGATCTTGAGCAAGTCATGCCCTTGCCCAGCCTCAGTTTCCCCGTCTGTAGGATGGGGGTAATAGCACAGAGCTCATGGCTTGGCTTCAGGGCATTGGAGGGAGTACCATAAGACAGCGCTGAGAATGCAAGAAGCGCCTAGCTCTGCAGCCTTGGTCGCGGTCTCTCTCACACCCGCGGCTCTCCGCCCCCCCCCTCAGCCCCCCCCCCAGCCCCGGGGCTGGCGCTTCCGTCCAGTGAGACGGAGCGAGCGGGGGCCGGAGCCGGGGCTGGGGCCGCCCCTCAGGCCAGCCGGGCTGCAAAGACGCCCCCTCCTTCCGCCGCTGGGCGGCGGCTGTGGGGGCGCCAGCGGGCATCCCGGGAATGCGGCGGCGCGGCTCGGGGTGGGGGTGGGGGTGGCCGGCAGGACCCCTCCGCACGCGGATTCCCCTCATTCCAGCCGCTTGACGAGGCAGCGGGCGGGGCGGGCTCTGCGGCCGCGAAGCTCCGCCCGCTCTCAGCTCCTCCCCTCCCTCCCGATAGCGGCCGCAGTGCCCGCCCTGTGCCCCCCTTACTGCAGAGAGCTGTGCTGCGGTGGGGGCTCTCTCGACCTCGTTCCCCCCCAGTCCCCTAAAGCACTCCCCACCCTGGATGGGCTGGAGGCAGAGTCCCCCTCCCGGCTCCCGCTCCCTTCAAGATTTTTTTTTTTTTAAGATTTTGTTTATTTATTTGACAGAGAGAGACAGAGCGAGAGCAGGAACACAAGCAGGGGGAGTGGGAGAGGGAGAAGCAGGCTTCACATTGAGCAGGGAGCCCGATGTGGGACTCGATCCCAGAACCCTGGGATCATGACCTGAGCTGAAGGCAGACGCTTAACGACTGAGCCACCCAGGCGCCCCCCCTTCGAGATTTTAAACCTGGGGGCATCGCGGAGGGCGCCCCCTTCCTCCCTGAGCCCGCCTCTGCGGGTGGCGTTTAATACCCCCCCCTCAGCTCCCACCCATCTCCCAGCTGCGCACCCAGTCCCCTGGCCCCTGCAGAAGGCCCCATCTCCCAGCTGGTGCCCTGCCCCCCCCACCCCGCGGGGTCCCCCTGGCCGCGGCTCCGGCCGGCCTGTTGTTTTCGAGGTAATGAGCCTCCCACGAGGCTGCAGCCCGCACCTGCCGCAGCCTCACCGCCTCTCCGGGGAGCCTGGGTCGGAGGGAGGGGCGCCCTGGGGCTTTGGGTCTCGACTCCGCATTTCCCCCCGGCTAGGACAAGTCCATGTCCGCCGGACTGCGCCTCGGGTTCCTTATCTGTCAGGCGGGGAACAGGTAAAGTTCTCGAGAGCTCTTTGTAACTGGCAGACACGCCTGAGGGGCTTTCCCCACTAGATAAGAAGTGGCCCAGGGCTCTTAGTAGGTCTGACCCAAACGTGTGTGGAATGAATGTCAGGCCAAGAGAGGGAAGTGCTTTTGAGAGACTGGGGAGTGCCTTAGCGCTTTTATCTTAGCCTTCTCAACAATCCTTTTAGGCAGCTATTAGCCACATTTTAAGGATGAAGAGGAGGTTCTAAGAAGTTGAGTGACTTGCTGCCAGTCATACCGCTTGTAAGAAATAGCCCAGTCTTGCAAGCATCAAAGGCTTTTAGCCATCACCACCTCCACCAGCGGTGGGATCTAAGCTAGAGTTGGCTTCTTAAGTGTTTCCAAGATCCCAGTGAGGGTGCGGCTGCTTAGGGCCGGTTTGGGAGAGGGAGGGTATCCTGGGGGATCCAGAGGGACAAGAGAGGGAGGCTCCCTCCAGAGGAGGAACAGAATTGAGGAGCCCCTGAAGCACAGAGGCCCTAGTTGGGGTGTCTGGGATAGGGGAGAAGGGTATAGGCCCCAAATGCTGAAAGTCGGACGTACATTTTCCAGATGGGAGAATGAGACCTCCATAGGGGCCGGACACAGACCGCGCTCGGCAAAGACTCCCTGTGGCCGTCCCTGTCCCTTGGGTGCTCGCTCCGTGCTGATTCGGAAACCTAAATAGATTTTCTTGGGGCTTAAAGACACAGGGCCACCCCCGGAGAGTACACAGGGGTGGACAGTGTCCCGCAGGGAGGCTCCGCCCGCCTGGGCGCGCCGGCCGTATTTGGACATTTCGATCTATTTTTAACTTTCCCGGGACTCGAGGTTGGGGTGAGGGGGGAGGGAAATCCTGCTTCCTCCGGGATCCACGGCCCTCAACCCTCGTCGCGCGCCTGGCCTGGTGCGTAGTGTAGACACGGCCCGGAAGTGAGTTCCGGGTCGGTGTAGACTCGGCGGCCGCGCGGGTTCCGGGCCCCACCCTGGAACCAACGACGTCCCTCCTGGAAAACCTGACTCAGGCGGAGCCCCCGCCTGGCGGGGAGCCCCGCCCCCCCTTTCCTCCCCCGCACCGAGATCCCCCGTAGTTCCTACTCCACCCCCACCAGCTGGACAGGGACCCCCGAGTCCGAGCCCCGAGGGAGGCGGGATCGGCTGGGGAGTCCCGCTTTCCTGAGGCTCGCGGAGGGGGCGGTGCAGGGGGCGGGCCGGCCCCTCCCTCGCTGACGCCGCCGCCGCCGCCGCGGCTGCCGCCGAGCCCCGGACGGAGAGCACCGGCAGCGGAGCAGGGCGCCAGGCCGGACTGGCAGGATGCGCTACCGGGCGTCGGTGAGAGGAGGTGGCGGGCAGGGCGGGGGTCCCGGGCGTCTCTCTGTGCCTCGCGGCGCCGCCTCGGGCCCCGCCAGGAAGCGGGCGCGGCCCAGGAATTTCGGGTGGAAAAACGTCCGGGAAAGTTGCAGGGGGAAGAGGCAGAGGCAGGGAGGGCCGTGGGGCGCTCGGACCCAGGGCCGGGCCAGTAGCACTCAGGGAGGGCTGAGAGCACGGAGACCCGTCACCCAGAGGGCAAGGGGGCGGGAGCTTCGGCCAGATTTGGCAGCAGCTTCGGAACAGGATGGGGGGGGGAGGCGGGGAGGGACAAGCCTGGGAGAGGCAGGCCAGACCCAGAGGGGTGCCCCAAACCAGAGATCTGGGTGCTCTGTGGTTGGAGGAGAATTGGGGGCCTCTATGGGATCTGTGCCCCTTCCCACCACTGCCACCTTGCCTTTCTCCGACCCTTGACACACTGTCAATTTCCTATAGTTCCCTCCCCCCCCCACCTCGCCATTTGAAGAGTGTGGTGTGGGGTGAGGGCCTCCCGGAGCCGATATGCGCTGGAGGCAGCTGGGCTTTCCGTGGTAAAACCCCCACCCCCTTGAGGCTTCTGGGGCTCTCAGGAGGAGAGTGTCTGGGGAGTCTGGCAGCTGGAGGAGAGGGTGTGGCCCAGCTATGAGAAGGAGGGCCCCCCCAACTTCTGGGGTGGGTGTCCAGCCCAGCTGGGATGGGAGGCCCCCTGGGGGAATCCCCCTCATGTGCTCTGGGGGTGGCCTCTTGCTTGGTCCCTAGACTCTCTCCCCCTGGAGATTTTGATGGGTGCGGGTGGCAGAGATGGCCCCACCCTGCCTGCAGAATTCACTCTGAGCCATTTGTCCTCCAAAGCACCTGTCACACGTGGCCCAGAGCTAAGGGACCTGAGGTCACCTGGTCTAACTCAGTTCCTCCTCCTTGAGGAGGAAGCAACCCCAGAGAGAGAAGGGGGATTTGTCCAAGGTCAACAGAGCATTCTTTTCATTATTCCAGGGAGTTTCTTCTCATGACCCCTTTTTCTCTACACAAAAGCAGTGCCTGCCTGGATTCAGTGGCCTTGCTTCCCGTGTCCTCTGGGTCTTCTGTGCCCCAGTGTCCTGTGTCTGGGTCCCATGTGTCCCACCTGGTCTCCGTTCTGTGTGACCCATGTCCTCAGTGTTCCAAGTACCAGCTTCCTGTGACCCAGGCCCACTGTACCCCAGCATGGTCTGTCTCTTGGGTGTTCTCTGCGTCCTGTGTCCATGGGCCCCTGGTTTCCCTGGGAGTCCCACAGGCTGAGGTGGAGGAGAAGCGGCCTTACCTCACCCTGCTGGTTCTGACCGTTTCCCGTGGTGCATTCCCTGCAGGCCCTGGGCAGTGACGGGGTGCGGGTAACCATGGAGAGTGCACTGACCGCCCGGGACCGGGTGGGCGTACAGGATTTCGTGCTTCTGGAGAACTTCACCAGTGAGGCAGCCTTCATCGAGAACCTGCGGCGACGGTTCCGGGAGAACCTGATTTATGTGAGGCCCAAGTGGGAAGAAGCTGGCAGGGGGGTAGTGGTGCTGGGGGCACAGACACAGGGCTGAGGAGGGAAAGAGGTATCAGGAGCCTCTGGGAGAAACCTCTGACCCTCCTCCCCCAACCCCCAGACCTATATTGGCCCTGTCCTGGTCTCTGTCAACCCCTACCGGGACCTACAGATCTACAGCCGGCAGCACATGGAGCGTTACCGGGGTGTCAGCTTCTATGAGGTGCCACCCCACCTGTGAGTGACCCCCAGCCTCTCCAGCCGTGACCCCCCCCATCTCCACCTAAGATGACCCCACCAGACCCTCACTCTAGAATATCCCTGACCTTCCACCTGGGATGAATCATTATTTACATGTGTGAGGGGTCCCACAATCCCTCACCCTAGAGTGACCCTGATCCCCACTTGACATGAATTTCTCAGCCCCATGTGGGTGGGACCTTGCCAGCCCCCACCCCAACTCCCACCCCTAGCTCCTTCCCCCGAACTCCACCTGGGCATGGCCGCCCAACCTTAGTGACTCTCTGACCCCCACTCTGAGGGACCTCCCAACCCCACCTATGAGTGACCCCAACCTCTTTATCTGAATGACCTCCAGGACCCCTACCCCTAAGTGATCTCCACAGTCCTCCATCGGAAAGCAACAGTGATCCCCATCTTCAGCTGTGAAGGACCTCCCTTGACCCACCCCCTTGAGGGTCCCCCAAGCCCCACCCACCAGCAAACTCCAACCAGATGTGGGAATCCCCCTCCCCTTCCTATCTTGCCCCACCCCGACCCCTCGAGTCCCTAACGAGCCTCTGTGGCAGGTTTGCGGTGGCCGACACTGCGTACCGGGCACTGCGCACGGAGCGCCGGGATCAGGCCGTGATGATCTCTGGGGAGAGCGGGGCAGGCAAGACAGAGGCCACCAAGCGGCTGCTGCAGTTCTATGCTGAGACCTGCCCAGCCCCGGAGCGGGGGGGTGCTGTGCGTGACCGGCTGCTGCAGAGCAACCCCGTGCTGGAGGTGAGGGGAACAGCAGCGTCTGCAGGGTGAGAGGGGCCGGGAGAGAAGGCCAGACATCCCTCTTACCCCCTCCTCTGCTCCTAGGCCTTTGGAAATGCCAAGACCCTCCGGAATGATAACTCCAGCAGGTTTGGGAAGTACATGGACGTGCAGTTTGACTTCAAGGTACCCGTAGCTGTGTCAGGGCAGGGGGAGTGGGAATCCCATTCCGTAGGCGCCCACTCGCCAGGTCTTTGGTACCAGCAAATATTTAGTGAGCGCCTACTCTGTGCCGGGTGCTGTTCCAGGTGCTGGTGGTACCACAGTGAAACAAAACAGACAAAAATCCTGCCTCCAGAGAGGTAGACGTGCAACAGAAAAATGTAATTTAGGTGACAAGTGCCGTGGCAAAAAATAAAATGAGGTAAGGGGTGGGGGCAGTTGCTATTTTAAACAAGGCAGATAGGGTAGGCCTCACTGAGAAGGTGGTACTTCGGTAAAAAGCTTGTTGGAGACAGGAGCAAGCTGTGCAGATACCTAGGGGAGAGAGTCCGGGCAGCGGGACTAGCCAGTGCAAAGGCCCTGAGGTTGGGAGTGTTTGGTGTGTAAAAGGACAGCCAGTGAGCAAGGCACCGAGATACAGGAGAGGAGGCTGGATGGTACAGGCACTTCTGGGTCTTTGTAAGAACTTCTTTTAAAAACTCTGAGTAGAGGGGCACCTGGGTGGCTCAGTTGTTTAAGCACTCGTCTCTTGATTTCAGCTCAGGTCACAATCTCAGGGTCGTGAGATCGAGCCCTGCATCGGGCTCCAGGCTCAGTGGGGAGTCTGCCTGAGATTCTCGCTTTCCCTCTCCCTCTCCCTCTCCCTCTCCCTCTCCCTCTCCCTCTCCCTCTCCCTCAAAAAAGCCAACCGACCAACCAAAAACAAAACAAAACAAAACCCACTAAAACAAAACTCTGAGTGGATGTTAACTAACTTGAATTTAAACAAAAACTTGAAATTAAAAAACAAACAAGGGGCGCCTGGGTGGCTCAGTCGTTAAGCATCTGCCTTCGGCTCAGGTCATGATCCCAGGGTCCTGGGATCGAGCCCCACATCGGGCTTCCTGCTCGGCAGGGAAGCCTGCTTCTCCCTCTCCCACTCCCCCTGCTTGTGTTCCCTCTCTCACTGTCTCTCTCTCTGTCAAATAAATAAATAAAATCTTAAAATTAAATTAAATTAAATTAAAAAATTAAAACCAAACAAACTCTGAGTAGAAGGGGAGCCATTGGAGGGTTTGGAACAGAAGCGTGTTGCGATGGGGCTTTTCTCTCAGATCCCTCTGGTGCGTTGTTGAGAGTAGATGGTAGGAGAAGCAGGCCGAGCAGGGAAAGCAGTTAGGAAGCTGATGATTGTTACATCGAGGTGACAGGTGCCGTGGCTGAGACCTGTGTGGCGGCCGTGTAGGCTCTGGATGTCTTGAGGGTGACAGCAACAGGATTGGCTGTGTGACTAGACGTGAGGTTAGGGAGAAAAAGAAGCTTCCCAGGGGACAGCAAACTTCTTGGCCTTGCAGACCTCGAGGGGCAGAGTGACCAGCCGCCAGGATGGGAAGAGCGGGGGGGGGGGGGGACACGGGGAGTTCAGTTCGAGGCCCATTGGTGTGAGCTGCCTGTCCGACAGCCAAGGGGAGCGGCCAGGTCGATAGGGCTGCATGCAGGCCCTCGTTTCTCAGATGAAGACACTGAGGCCAGAGGGGGTGACTCTCCTGAGTCCACACAGCTAGTGGCAGCGCCGGAATTAGAGACTGAGGAAGGAGGGGAAACCGGGGCCCATCCCCAGGCCCCCTGAACAGTCGCCACGTCCTGCCCTGCCCGCAGGGTGCGCCTGTGGGTGGCCACATCCTCAGTTACCTCCTGGAGAAGTCCCGGGTGGTGCACCAGAACCACGGGGAGAGGAACTTCCACGTCTTCTACCAGCTGCTGGAAGGTGGCGAGGAGGAGATACTGCGCAGGCTGGGCTTGGAACGGAACCCCCAGAGCTACCTGTACCTGGTGAAGGTGCGGAGCAGGTGGGCAGGGCCGACGCCCCCCAGTGAGTGCAGCACCAGGGCTGGTAACCCCGCTCTGCCCTTCCCCCCAGGGCCAGTGTGCCAAAGTCTCCTCCATCAACGACAAGAGTGACTGGAAGGTGGTCAGGAAGGCCCTGACAGTCATCGACTTCACTGAGGATGAAGTCGAGGTGAGACCTGTGCTGGGGACCTTCCTTTTCCTCCCTCTACACCCTGAAAATCTCAGTCCACTTTTACAGCCCATTGCTTCTCTCAGACACTCCCGCCACCCCAGTCCCCGCTCCCGCTGACCATGCACTGGTGGCCCTCATGGGCTCTCTGCCCCTCCTGGGACCCCCTCCACCTCCCCCCTCCCTGTTCGCCCAGGACCTGCTCAGTATTGTGGCCAGCGTCCTGCATTTGGGCAACATCCACTTTGCTGCCGACGAGGAGAGCAATGCCCAGGTCACCACCGAGAACCAGCTCAAGTATCTGACCAGGGTGAGTGGGCTGAGGAAGGGGCCAGGGCAGAGCAGGGGGGGGGAGGAGTCTACCCTCACCGTGCCCACCCCCCTCCGTTGGCAGCTGCTCGGCGTGGAAGGCTCAATGTTGCGGGAGGCCCTGACACACAGGAAGATTATTGCCAAGGGAGAAGAGGTAAGGTCAGGCCTTTGTCTCAGGGCTGGGGGGGGTCGAGGGTGCAGGTGGTCCAAGGCCTCTTCTGAGATTCCTGCCTCTGGCAGTGAGGCCTTGGGTCCTGACGCCGTCTTCCCTCTGATAGGGCCACTGTGCCGCTCCCCCCCATCCCCGCCGCCCCAATGTCCCCCACCCTCCAGGCTCACCAGGGAAAGGACAGAGAGGTGGAGGTTTTCTGGTGTGGAGCCTGAGTGCATAGAGGAGGGGGATGGAGAGGGGTCCTCGGCATTCCTCTCCTTTCTACCTTGGCTGGCAGCTCCTGAGCCCGCTGAACCTGGAACAGGCTGCGTACGCGAGAGATGCTCTTGCCAAGGCTGTGTACAGTCGCACTTTTACCTGGCTGGTCAGGAAGATCAACAGGTCGCTGGCCTCCAAGGTGAGGGCTTGGCTGGGCGGCTTCCCAAGCAGCGGGGAGGCGTGGGGCGGGGCGCCGTCCAACCCCGGGTCCCCCGCTCTTGGCCCTAGGATGCCGAGAGCCCCAGTTGGCGGAGCACCACAGTCCTCGGGCTCCTGGACATTTATGGCTTTGAAGTGTTTCAGCACAACAGGTCAGCACCCCCTTTCCCCTGCCTCTCTCTCCTCCCATCTGCCCTGTCCTCGCCCCGCCCCCTCTTCCCCCTGCCTCTGTTCCTGACAGTGCCCCCAGCCACACCCGGCCCTGCTCTGTGTGTCTTCCCTTAGCTGCTCAGAGGCCGCGTCGGGTCTCTCCCTGCCCTTGCTCCTCTTGTGCCCTCCTTGACCTACTGTGAGCTCTTCTGTTTCCCCTCACAGCTTTGAGCAGTTCTGCATCAATTATTGCAACGAGAAGCTGCAGCAGCTCTTCATCGAGCTCACCCTCAAGTCGGAACAGGAGGAATATGAGGCAGAGGGCATCGCGGTGGGTGCGAGGCTGCAGGTGTCCCTGTGGACACCCCACAGGAGGCCAGGCATTGGGGTCTTCTCGAAGAGGTGCTAGGACCCCATGATGATGCCTTCCTTCCCTTTTGCCCCTCAGTGGGAGCCTGTCCAGTATTTCAACAATAAGATCATCTGTGACCTGGTGGAGGAGAAGTTCAAGGGCATCATCTCCATTTTGGTGAGTCCTCCGCTCCTCCAAGGCCTCATGTTGGAGGCTGGGTAGGAGGCTGTTACTCCCTTCCCCATTCTCTTAGGCATGTCCACAGGGGGCCCGAGTTTGGTGTTGAGCCGGGACAGGGCAGGGCTGTGCGTGGAGGGTGAAGTGAGGTGCCGGCCTGGTCTGGAAGCAGTCTGTCGGAGGCTCCCTATGATCTGCCCAGTGCCCTGCATCTGTGCTTCCTGGCACAATGCCCCTGAGTCTCCTGTGCTCTCCAGCTCCTTCCCTGATACATCCCTTACCCTCTGCCACACCCCCCAGGATGAGGAATGTCTGCGCCCTGGGGAGGCCACGGATCTGACCTTCCTGGAGAAGTTGGAGGACACAATCAAGCACCATCCGCACTTCCTGACGTAAGCGGGGTGGCAGCGCAGCGTAGGGGCAAGGGCTCGCTTGCGGCAGAGAGCCCGTGAAGCGTGAGGTTCCCCCCCCCCCGCCCCGCCACGATCATAAACCACCAGCCACAAGGAGATGACTGGGGGAGGTGTACGCTGAGGACAGGCGCACAGGGCCACAGGTCGTGTACCCACAAAGTAAGAAGCTAAGAGGAGCATGGCTCCCTCTTTATTCTTGTTTGAGAATGAAACTTGCTAAGATTTTTTTAGTTTCCTTATTTGGAAGTTGGGTTTTCTTTAAGGAATTCCCTGAAGTGGGGAGGAGAAGAGAGGAAGCAAGCACCTCTGCCCCAGCTCTGTCCTGCTGCTTCTCTTCCCCTCACCTCCTCTAACCCGAAGCAACCCTGTAAGGACGTATCCGGGGTGCTGTCTCCACTTTACCGAGGCTCCAGGAGGTGAAGCCAATTGCCCGAGGTTATCACGTACTTAGTAAGCTGCAGAGCTCGGACTCGGGCCTGGAGCTGTTGAATGCCAAAGCCCTGAGCATTTTTTGCTTAATTGTATCTGAAAAACCTTTTTCTGATTGCAAAAATAAGGATGCTCATTAGAGAAAAGTTGGAATGTGTGCCAAAGCCGCTGGTTATCCTGTCACCCAGAGGTCATCACTGTTAACAATTTGAGGCATTTCCTTCCTGCCTTTTTCTATATGTTTTTGGTTTTGTTTTGTTTTTTTTTTATAGCTGAGAACTTATTGTGTATAAGGTTCAGGATCATGTTATATCCTGAGTATTTTCCTGTATCATCAAACGGAAAAATTTCCTCAAAACACTTCCTCCGGCAGCTCTAACTCACAGATACTCCACCGTTCCCCCCCCCCAGCTTCGGGGGGCCCCTGGCCAGCCTCCAGGTTTCTGCTGGGTAACAAGGCTGCCACAGACATCTTTGTGCCTTACGTCTCTGCCTGTATCTCTGGTTAGTTGCTTGGAAGAGTCCTTAGAAGTAGAAACTGGCTTAAAGGATACAAACCTGCTTAAGACTTCAGTAATCTTTGGGGGCAGATTCCGTTCTTAGAATGTAGTACGCAGTGCCCGGCACTCCGAGCAAAGTCACGCAACAGCCATGGGCAGTGAAGCAGGCCTCTGCCCAGCGCGCCCGGCCGTGCGGACGCCTCGGGCCGGGTCCTGGCCCCGTGGGACCCTGGGCAGGGCTGTGTGCCTCCCCGAGCCTCCGCAACTGCCTCTGTGCAGGGAGCCTCACGGCTCCGCTCTGTCTCCCGCCTGGGACAGAGGGCTGTGCCTTGGCCCCGGGCATACCTGCTCCTTCCCGGA